GAGGCCTTGCAAGACATTCCTGGTAAGGTGGAGGAGTTTTTAGGGCTGCTTTATGAGTTTGACCAGGTGGGGGAGAGTCGCAGTGTTTTAGAGTTGTTCTCCCAGCTGAAGCTTCTGCTCAAAGACTGGCCTGAGCTCCTCAAAGACTTTGCTGCTTTTCTTTTGCCTGAGCAAGCTCTGGAGTGTGGACTGGTAAATACAATCATTTTATAGACGGAAAAGTGAATTGTTCAAATAAGTGATTTAAGTAATGTAATCACTAAAAAAGAAAACAACTGTTTCTATATATTCATTCTCCCATCCACAGTTTGAAGAGCAGCAAGCCTTTGAGAGGAGTCGTCGATTCCTGCGTCAGTTGGAGATCAGTTTTGGGGAGAATCCGTCTCATTACCAGAAGATAGTGAGAGCACTGCAGAGTGGAAGTCCTCTCAGTCCTGCTGGGATTGAAGAGGTATGTATAGATGTATTCTTGAATAAAATGAAAGATTTTCTGTACTGTCCTATAGAGATACGCACATTGTCTGTTTGACCCGTAGCCTAACCCATTAGTTAGTTGGAGAAATGGAGATGCTGACAGTGTTGCCAACTTATCGACTTTGTCGCTAGATTTAGGGCCTTTTTTTTTTTTTTTTAAAGCGCCTAGCGTCAAATCTTTAGGGTTTGCCCAAACTTTATTTCGTTTCTGAGACTTGCTGGTACTGCTGCGCGAGCGTGAGGTCTCTCTTTCCCGCTGTGCACACACCTCTTTCTCTGCGTCTGCTCTGTTCAAGCGAGTGGCAGAGGAGTAGCGCTTTCAGTTAAAATATATATTATGTTGCTTCTCTAATTTTACATCCAAGTATAGCCGAAATCACAGCACAGCTATTGTCTTTATCTTATGTGTAGCCTATTTGATTTCATCAGATGACTGCTCGATTATCAGGATTTTTGTGCAGATTAACATTTTAGGATGAGGAGGTGGTTATGTAGTCTTAATGGGTCGCGTTTCAGTCACTATTTCATATTCATTCCATTGTCTGACAACTGAAACAGTAAAATATGTCAATGAAAATTGTTTAATTGAGAATTTAGCTGCAATAAAATACAGTATGTGGGCACAGAGAGGCAAACAAATGTAATAATAAATGTACATTTTGCATGTTCAGAAGAAGTGAGCTGCCCTGTCCTGCAAATAATGTAAAACAGGCTTGTGTAAGTATTGCTCAGTGCAAAGAAAGAGAAGTAATGGGGACCTGGTATTTCTATGTTCTTTTTTTTTTTTTCATATGTCTAATAGACATGTTCATTGAAAAACATCTATGACCTATGAAACATGTCTAGCCTTCATGCTCTGTTGACTATGGTTTCACTAATAATAAACATACATTTGCATAAAGCATCCTTATTTGTCCATGCCCTTGTTGATTAGAGTATTAAAAACGTGAAAAGTATTCATTTAAGGTACATTTAGAACAGATAAAAAGGTGCGATTAAGTTGCGATTAATCACGCGTTAACTCATGACAATCATGCAATTAATCACCATTAAATAATTTAATCGATTGACAGCCCTAGTTCAAATAGAAAACGGTTGTTTTAAATTGTAATATTTTGCAATTTTACTGTTTTTACTTTTCACTGTATTTTTTGACTAAATAAATGCAGCCTTGGTGAGCATGAGTAACATTAAAAATCATATCAACCCCAAACATTACATCAAAATGTGCATGAAATAGCATTACTTGATACTATTAATTTGACTGTTTATTGTTTTTGTTTTCCTAAATCCCATTATTTCTGCTTTTGTAACTCAGCTCAAAGCACAGATGGCCACCCTTCTTAAGGGCCACACGCACCTACAGGGAGAATTTTGGATGTTTTTTGAAGAGATGCGTCCAACCCCAGCACGTCCTGGCCAGTTTGAGGAGGCAGTTTGGCCGGAGGTAGTGGGCACTGGGACAGATGGAGAGGCAGGGATGAGTGTGAGCTCTAGAGTTGGTGTATGGGGAGGATTTGAGGAAGTAACTCTGCCTGATCTAGAGGAGGATGACGAGTCCCACAAGATTCGACAGATCAGTAGCAGGAGCAGGAGGAGGAAAGAAATGCTCACGCATGGGAACTACAAGGTATCTTAATTTGACTCATCCCAGTGAATTCACAGTTGTTTAGTTGTTAATCTCATTCTTTTCTTCAGGACTGTGATTGGCCTGAGAAAGATTGCTCATGTCCTTGTCGTGACTCCAGCCATGATGCCAAACATCGCAGGCATAAGAGAAAGGGATGCTTGCGTTGTCATAGCAACAAGGTGCTCGCCATGTTTGTTTTGTGGGTTGGCATAATTTGTCTTGAAATATGTTTTGATGGAGGCCATGTTTCCTTATATGGGGTTTTTTTTTTTGGTCATCAGGCCACTAATGGCTCTAAGGTACTGAAGAATCGCGATTCTGCGTTTCCGTCTGACAGGGGAGGGGAAGAAAATGAAGAGGAAAGAGGACAAGGGGAGGATGGAGAGGCAGAGAAAGAGGTTAAAGAGGAGACTGGCAGTGGAGCAAACAGTCCACATCATGGTAAAGCCTAATTTCTTTAATTTCTCTAAATTTTTGTTACTTTTAGTTAGATTTTTAATGTTTACAAGCTGCATCTACAGGCATTCTTACAGAGTTCCTCAAGTTATTTTTGACTTTTTTAATATATTGTTTTTGTTCTTGATTTTTTTAAGAACAATTTACTTGAAAAGAATTTACTGGTGAAAAGTTTGGGGTCAGCTATTTTTTTTCAAAGAAATTAATGCTTTTATTCAGCAAAGATGCATTAAAGGGATAGTTCACCCAAAAATGAAAATTCTGTCATTAATCACTCACCCTCATGTCGTTCCAAACCCGTAAGACCTTCATTCATCTTCGGAACACAAATTAAGATATTTTTGATAAAATCCGAGCTCTCTGACCCTCCCATAAACAGCAAGGGTTCTAACACGATCAAGGTCCAGAAACGTAGCAAGGACATCAGTAAAATAGTAATTTTAGCACTTTCTGTTCATTAAAGAATCCTGAAAAAATGTATCAAGGTTTCCACAAAAATAAGCAGCACAACTGTTTTCAACATTGATGATAATAAGAAATGTTTCTAGAGCACCAAATCAGTTATTAGAGTGACACTGAAGACTGAAATAATAGCTGCTGAAAATTCAGCTTTACCATTAAAGAAATTTATTTACATTTTAAAATATATTTAAAATAAAAAAGTTATTTAAAATGGTAATATTTCACAATATTGTTTTTACTGTAAAAAAACAACAACATTTTCTGTCATCCCCAAAACTTTTGAATGGTAGTTTACGTTGAGCAAATAATTTTTATTTGCTAATATTTAAATTAATATATAGTATATTGTTTTATGTATTACATGTAGTATAATATATATTTGTTTTAAAATGTAGGACTGATCAGTGTCATATCTACAGTGTACTGACTGTTTACTGGAAACAACAAAGATTAAAAAAAATCTTCACCTGATCTGCAGATGGTGATGGGCCCGTATGGGAGGGAGGAGAGAGACCTTCTTCCCCCATCCCAGAAGAGCAGAAAATACAGAACAAAGACGATGACAACAAGAAAACCGAAGAGGAGAGGCATCATACGACCACACAGAAGCACAGTAGGGATGAAGAAGATTCATCTGAATCAGGAGAGAGAGATGCCACTCAGCAGAGCACACTGAGCCCAGCCTTAGACACACCTGTGTGTGCCAAAAACATCTCCCTCACTCCCAGTGGAGAGAGGGTCATTCTCTGGACCAGGTGAGCACAGCCACAGATCGGGATGGGTTTTTGAGCATCATCTGATGGTGCTTGTGTTTTACATGGCCCTCTTTTATCATCTGGTTCATAGGGAGGCCGATCGAGTGATCCTTACTGCCTGTCAGCAGCAAGGAGCCAATCAGAGCACCTTTCAGGCTGTGTCAGTGCAGCTCGGCAACAAAACAGCCAGCGAGGTACCACAATTATAAAGTTACAGGTCTTTTTTCTTTACAGCTTTCCTTTCTTTGCCTTTTTTAACAACAATGTCTCTGCAGGTTTCAAAGAGGTTTCGGGACCTGATGCGTCTGTTCCATACATCAGCGTGTCAGGCCAGCTCAGAGGACGAGGCTGCTGAGCAGCAGTCTGCCACTGATGAGGAACAGGACTGAGCCCTGCAGTCATAAAGGGTCAGACTTTTCTCCATCCATATGAACTGTTGACTGTGCATTAAAACACAAATGCAGTTCTTCTAGTTGGAGACTAGTCTTGCGCATACACCCCATGTCTTGCACTAACACCTGCCAAAGACATATTTTAAGTATGGTGACAAAGGGTCGGAAGGTCTCTCTGTAACATATGAAGTATAAATCCACTAAATATGAAGGTGTTATCAAACAAATCCAGCATACACTGTTATACCTGAAGAATTGTAGCTTCAGGGCCTGATTATTGAATTACCATTGGTGGGCAAGTTTTATAGCCCTTTATTGAGCACAAAGTGAAATATTTGATTAGTCAAACGATGCAGGAAAAAAAACTTTCCATTGTGAAGCACTAACTGGCAGATTCACACCAACATTGTTTCTAACAGATTGATTGTAAATTCTGTGAAAATATGAACATAGGGGGGCATGTACAGTATTTTTATATCAGGGTGATTTTGTTTTTGTTTTACTTCAGATGCTAGTTTTGTGAATGATGAACAAGTTGTTGGTAATCTGGAGAGTTAATTACTCAAATGACTATTTATACTTTTTATAGTTTTGTGCCAGACTTAATATTACAAAAATGTGTCTGTGTGTGAGTATATACATGTATGCACATTTTACATATACAATATACTTGTTCACTGATCATTTTTATTAAAAAGCTGAAATATATTATGGGTCTGTTTTAATTATCTGTATAATTATTTGCTATTTTACGTGAATATATACGTTAATGTTATTTTTGTATGTGTGTGTGTGTGAGAGAGAAATATGAAAACGCGTTTCGTTAAGAGCGCTGCCGCTGACCCCGTTCGCCTTCCATAGTTTCCTATCTTGCCGGTGTCTACTCTCTTGCTGAACGCGTGGTAGGGATTCTTTTATTTCGGTACGGTATTACTTTGTATTAACGCATTTTTAAAACAGCTATGTGAAGTTGCCCGATGCGTGTTTTACTGACTGCTTCACATGTGCAGATTCTGAGAAGTTATTCTGGAAATGGCAGAAATGGTTCAAGAAAAGAATACAGGACTAAAATTCGCAGAGGAGCAGCTTCTGCGACACGGATGGGAAAAAGGTCAAATCAGAACAGACTTTAGGCCACGCGCAGGCGGTTTTCTACATCACACACCCTGTTTATGTTACTGTGTAACTCCGTTTCTTAACTTTCATATAGATATAAACAATTCTCCTGCATAATCTTTGGCATATCCGTGTAAATCGACTGACACATGCCAGGTCTGTTTGTTGATGCTAATATTTAGACTTGTGTTGTAGGTAAAGGTCTGGGAAGATATGAGAATGGCATTTCAGAAGCTATTAAAGTCAAAATTAAATGTGATAAAGGAGGGGTGAGTAGAGAATATATTTTTGTTTTTAGATCATTGCATTGAATACAGCATGTGTTCAGTTGACAACATGGAAATTATGTTCGTTTATAAACATTTATTATGTATAATGGACCGTTATGGTGCTCTAACTGGTTCACCATCCTAACCCATGTCAGTTTCCTAATGCCAGATCAACAAAAAAAACAGTATGTATTAGAAATGCTGTCAAAAACAGTTTAGGTAAAAAGGGTAGCATCTCTCTCTACAGGTCAATAGTTTTTACATATATAGCTTTTAAAATGTTAAGTTACCAGCTGTTATAGCCTTTATGCACATTATATTTGTATTTATTATGTACTGTTTGTATTCAGATGGGCCATAAGGAAGGTGAGCAGTTCAGTTTCCACTGGTGGGACCATGTTTTTAACAAAGCCTCGTCAGGTCTGGTTGTGGAATCAGGGCAGGTAAGTAATATGAAGAGGATTTAAATACATTTTTACCTCGACATCATCTCTTTACTGTAGCTGTTATTTTTAGTTAAACATTACGAATCACATTTTGCAACTATATTTATCACAGTTCAGTTTTATGTGTAACATTTATTTTATTGACATTTATTAAATTAGCAGACACTTATCCAAAGTCACTTACAAACAAAGAGCAATTTGTTACAAAGCCAGCAATATTCACAAATGCATTGGAAAGCTAGATTGCAGGGGTGAAATGCAGAAAATAAGAGTTTTTTCATAGTTTGTGATTTGAAGACAATCTTGACTCCTCAAGTAAATAAAAAAAAAAATTTAAGTTGTTGTAAAATAATTAATTAATTGAAGCAAATTATAGCAAACTGTGTTTTGTGTGAATGAGGGCGTGTTTGTGTTTTTGGCTCATCTGGTGTTGTCATTGTGGTTTAGAATGGTGTGGTGGTGAAGAAGTCAGATGACGGCAATGATGGATTGATCTCCAACAAGAAGCCACGCAAGGCTCAGCAAGCCAAGTCCATGCTCTATGGACGCTTTGTCAAGGTACAAATAATAAATGGAAAAAAACCAACAAAAAAAACAGCTGTGATTTAGTATTTGGATTGTGCCGTTGTAATGTCGTCTTTCTTCGTTCTTAGTCAGCTACGCTGCTGTCAGGTGAGAAGCCAGAAAAAACCTCTGATTCAGATGACAGCAGCAGCAGTTCTGAAGATGAGGACCAGAAACTGGATCTTTCCAGCACGACCAAGTATGAGCTGCCAATATTACAAAATTCTGACACATTCCTTTAAAAACCTTATAGTTTTTATCAAATATTAGTACATTTATTGTTATGTACTATCATTGTAGAATATTCTGCACTAAACATGCACTATCAAATGTTCCTTAGTGTGGCATGCAGAAGCAATAAAGATTATTTTTAAATGTGTTAGATTTGAAGATCAGTTATTCTTTCAGGCCAGTTCAACTCTGTATTTCTGTCTGTCTCTTTTAAGACTATCAGATGCAGATCTGCTTGAAGCTTGCGGAGGACGAACAGCACACAAGTAAGCTCTGATCTCTTCAGGTTTGCGCTGTGATGCATCCCAATCTGTGTTATCCTTTCATCAATTCATGTTAGTCAAACTGGTTTAAATTGTAATACTAGAACATCTAGCATTTACCCATTTCCATCATCACATTTGAGCAGGACATGAATCATAGATAGCGTAATATTATCAAAGCGGTGTTATTTTAGTATAAGTTGTATTGTAAATAACTTAAATTTGCACTTAATAATTTTTTTTTTTTTTTTTTAATTTTAGTATTTAAAGTATTTCCAAGGCAACATTTCTAATTTTATAAAAAGTATATGCATGCCAGTTTTGTTGGTTACTTATATACATACATGTTTGTTTGTTTGTTGTGTGAATAGAGGAGCCAGACATGGACTCACTATGAGCGCCAAACTGGCCCGGCTTGAGCAGCAGGAGCAAGAGTTCATGAACAAGTATGGTAAGAAGAACCACACTGCTAAAACATCCACAAGCAGCACAGACTGTCTAAATCCTGAGGGATGTCCAGATATGAACGAGAAAACAAAACGCAAGAAATCAAAAAGACAGAAGGAGCCATCAGAGAATAACATCCATGAAGATAAAATGACAACACACATCCTTCCAAGTAATAATACTGAGAACTGCAAGCCCAAAAAGAGGAAAGGCTTTAATGGTGCTTCCGTGAACAACGATATGATTGCAGATACAGAGCCAAAGAAGAAGAAAAAGAGAAATCGCAAAGAAAAAGAAGCACCTGAGGATTGTGCCAATGGAGACTGCAGCATAGACGTGAACGAGGCATTCACACACACATCAGAGGAGCGAGACACACACCTGCCAATGGATGACAGCGTGCACAAAAAGAAGAAAAAGAAAAAACAATCCAAGGTGGATGATGAGACGGCCAACACAGATGAGATCAGTGAGGATTCCACGAACACACAGAACAAACAGCCACAGGAGGGCAGTATTGAGCATCAACAAGCCTCTGACGGTGCCTCCAAAAAGAAAAAGAAAAAGAAATCCTCTATGGAGCACTACGAAGTTGTGGATAACTCAACTACTGCGATGACAGTAACAGAGGACACTAGCAACAAAGCACAGATAATGGACACACAAACAGAAGGACAGGAGAACGACAGGAAGAAAAACAAAAAAAAGAAGCATAGCAAAAAGGAGCAGGAGGTGGTAGAAAATGTGCAGTTTGAGGAGTCTGTGCCAAAGAAAAAGAAAAAAAAGAGCAAATAGTGAACTCGCATGCTGCAGAACTCACTACAAACACAAGCTGATCAGAATCTGGGCTGCTGATGAAATGCAAGGATCAGTTCTCCAGTATCAAGACTATTAGCTGTTCAGATCACATGTTTGTTGTGCAGCACTCGTATTCATTCTTACAAGTCATGGGTGATTTTTAAAGCTTGAGACCCACGGGTGACATGAAATGTTTTTAATGGACTGATTTGTGAGACATTTGTGTTATGCATATTAAATGGCATATCCACAATGACAAAAGTGTGATGAACTGTGAACCGCTTGAAGTGAGTTGTGTGGAACTTGAAACATTGCTAACAAATCAAACTTCAAATGAATTGGAAAATAGTTATTCTTGAGATGGTTGTTGTTTTGTCTTCTGCTCATGTTGAGGGGTCATTTGGGTTTGAAGTTAGGCCATGTTAAAACATCCGTGTCGCAGATCCATCTATTGTACATGTGACATCTTGTTGATATCCAGCTTTTCAGTGGGTTTTTGCTGGTCATTGACAGAACACAGTCCATGTATCCTTCTGAGGGTCCACTGATCCAAAATCTGAAAGAAAAATATGGAAAGCATCAGATAATTGTTTTTAAATTGTAACTGGTTTATTATTGTATTTTTTATTGATAGATTTTTTTTTCATGGTTTATCAAAAGGAAAGTTGTTTTCAATTAAAAAGGAAACTAATATTTATACTTTTATATAAATTCTGAAATATTTTTAGACTTACCCTCCCTCTAGTTTGGTGCCAGTGGTCCAGACCCAAGCAGTTTCTGACTTTTCAGAGTCCAATCCAGTACCCATGATTTTGATCAGAATTCATCAGAATTTAAATTTTTGGGTGAACTATCCCTGTAAGTGCTAAATGTTGTTTCAGGCTTTGGTCTTACCACAGTATTGTTGTAGTTAGACATTTGAATGTAGTCTGCAAGGCAGAGAAACAAAAAGAGCTAATTGTAGTTAAATCTACTTGTAGACTATTTTTCAAATGCAATATAAAGCTCTGCGATATTTTAGTAGTAAGTTATGAGTTTAGTAAATGGGAATAGTCCATATTTAGTCATAAATTGCTCCATTGGCCTGTATTGCCCATATAAACTTGTAAGAAAGCGAGAAGACTTATGACAACAGGACACGAGAAAGTGTCCAGTGTTGTCACACATAGTCTCACTTTTCTTGACACATTTGTAACACTTGTGTTACTCAACCACTTCTTTTTTTCAGATAGTTCTGACTGAATATAAACCAGTTAATCACGAGTCTCCTTGCACAGGGTTGGAACACAACTAAACGTGGACATCCAAATGTAGGACTGAATGGTATTTTAGTATTGTTTAAATGAACGAGACAGTGCTTATTCTTACTGAAAGCGCTGACAGCTGTTAACGCAGGAAGCAGAGCAGCCCCAGAAACACTGTAGCTCATCTAAAAGCTGTAGAGATCTGGATGGCGGCTTCTTTTTCTGAATGAGAATGAGACTAGTTTCAGTCCAATGGTGCAAGCATATGATAGTACATGGCCACATTTGACAAATTAAGACTAATTTGATAGTTAAAAATGTTATTTTTTAAGATTATATGACAGGTATAATACTCTGTACTTTCAGTCAGAGTATCATGTGCTGGCAAAAATATATATATTTTTAATGAACACTGCAGCTGCACAGGAAAGAGGGGGGAAATAGTGTATAACTGTTATTTTGAATTTGAAGGAAGTGAAATAATCTGTCAGTCAGATTTGTTTGAAAAATCCCACAAATTAAAAAGTAAATATTTTTGTTTAAAGAAATTAAATAAATATGAACTATTTTACATTAACAATGTTTGTAACAATATCGGAGTTTATATAAATTACATATTTATTTATTTATATTAATTATATTAATATAAATTATGCATAATTAGTTTAAAGGGGTCCTATTATGCTCTTTTAAGTCTTGATTTTGTTTTGGGGGTGTACTAGAACAGGCTCTCATACTAGGTTGCTCGAGAAAAACATTATTTTTCACACATCAATTTGAGCACATTTAAACCTGGATGATTGTAACCACTCTAAGTTTGTCTGCCTTGGGAAAGCTAGCTTGTCTCCGACATAATGATAACAGTCGTTGCCTTCTCTAGTGCTCTAGTTATGATAATTTACTGTACCAGGTCTCGTCCCATTCGTCGATATTTGTGATATCACAAATCCCGGAAAATATGCGTTGTAGTCCAAACGAGTTGTTCGTTGTAGTTTTTGAAAAGTGATTTCTGTTAAATAAAATATCTCCTTTTGAAGTGGACTTTGAGCTTTGTAACTTTGCAGATCTTTTTTATGCTCAAACAGCAACATTACAAACTAACTAAAGTGAAAAAGCATAATAGCACCCCTTTAAATATACTAATATACATATATTTTATATATATAAATACCTGTGTTCTCAGGAGGTGTCTGTGAACAGGGTGTCCGCGGGTCCTTAAAAAGTCTTAAATAACGTTTTCCTAATATAAGGCCTTAAAAAGTCTTAAAATGTCTTAAATTCTTAAATATTTTTGGTCACATTACCGCTAAAATATCTTAAGTCTGACGGACCTAATAACTTTACAATCATTGGACAGACCGAAGATGTTTTCTTCCCGTGGTAAGTTACTGCGTCATCAGAGAGAATTGCAGTAAGTTAGCAGAATACAGCATACAAGCTCGCGCTGAGGCTCACTCCGTTTGTCTCTTTGTGAGAGTCTTCAGAACAAATGAGCGTGACAGCACACATAAACTCAGAAGAAACACACTGAGGTAAAAATGTTGAATGTTTCATTTATTCATAACATGATATAGTTAAGTGATACCCTGACAAGTGAGCTATTTTGCTCTATATTCTTATGATAAAAAAAACATTCAAAACACCTACAGAGTGCAGGCACTACGTGAAGTCTAGTGCGCTCTTTCACTTCATGATTCAGTCTTAAAATACATTCAGAATGATCACAAAATCAAGATATGGGGGCAGAAAATGTGTATATTTATACCACTTCTTATAGTTAATCAAGTTCACACAGGAGGAGTGCCTTTTTTTCTCCAAAAATTACCATATACAAATGTAATATTGATTTTTTTTACAACAGTTCAAAAAAAAAATTATTCCAAACGCAGTTTTGCGTCTTTGAGCAACATGACAGCGTTTTGTTCCTGAATGAATCAACAGTTTAAGTGATTCGGTTCAGTCGCATTGACTCACTTATTAACAGTGACTTGCTGCCACCTACTGCGGTTTTAATTTCACATTTAAAGTATCGTTTCATTTTTTAAATCATTTCAAATATCAGTATTCATTTTTTTATGTTTAATATATCAAATTATTTATGCATGTAACTGCAGGTTAAATGCATTCATGTTCTGCATTAAACAGTGCGTAAATACTTCTAAATGCCACTTCAGGTGCAGCTTATGTCTGGATTGCAAAGATGAATTTTGTTGATACTGATTTCATTTGCTTGGTAACAGCCCAAATGTCTTTTTGTTATTATTCACTGATTAAATGTAAGAATTTGACTCAAAAGATAATGCACACTTATAGAAAAAAATGACTTTATGAAGGTAAAATTCCCATAAAAGGTAAAAATCAATTTAAACTTATTGGAAAAGATAAATTTCTATCTGACCACCACACAGAATATGGAGAATTTGAAAAACTTGAGTCAGCTGTCCACGAATGTCCTTAAGATAGCAGCATAATAACACACTCAATCAGTTAAATGAATGACTCAATGACTCACTCATTAAGTGACTTGCCGTCACTTACTGATAGTTCAGTTGAGAAGTTTGTTGAAAAGTATGCATTTCCCCCCTCATCATTTCTCATTTGTCTATTCATAAATGCATTCAAAACATTAATCTCATAACATTATTTATCGCAGTTGTAATTATTGTTATTTTCAGTGTAAATCATTTAATCTGACTGGTAGCAACCCTATAGTGTATATTGAATTTATTGATAAATTGTAATAATTTGGTTTAAAATAGGCCTTTGTAAAGGTAAATAAAAATATGCAGATTTAAGTATGTAAAAGCTGATAGAACACTGATGAAAATATTGCTTCAGAATAAATTGTTTACTCCACCAAAAATCTCAGTGATGCAGTTATTTTGCGGGGATATTTTGTATGGAATATTGTCTGCTGACATTAAAAGTTCACTGTATATCGTAGTAATAAATATAATTTATTACAGCAAACATATTTTGTTTTCTTTTTCATTTAAACACATTAAATATTACATATATGTATGTAATAAAATGTGTATTTCCATTACAGGTTTAGGTCTTACATTTCATATAAGGTGGTATTAAAAAGGTCTTAAAAAATCTTAAATTTAACTTGTTCATGTCTGTAGAAACCCTGTGTGAAGTTGATTGCTTTCTTTTCACCTCAGCATACAATACAGACTCCTCTGACTGGTACACTTTTTTTTAAAGGATTCCAAGCAAACAGAGCAATTGTTGTGGTAACATAATGGTTAAATCTTGTTTCTTTGCCATCACCAAAAAGAAAGAAAGAATGAAAGAAAAGAAGAAACATACCTGTACCTGTAGATTTGTCATTGTCAAATGGCTTGAAGATAACTGTTGAATAGCACAACTCATCTTCCATACCTGCTCACCTTCACAATCCACAAATGCTGTTGAGAAGACAGAAAACAGCAGTATGATTAAATGCAGTCAGTCAGACTGCGCAGAGACATTTGTGCCATTCAGAATTTGGTAATAACAGAATTTGAAGCGGAACATGCTGCCTCATTTACAACACTAATACTTCATTCATCATATTCATACACAAGGAGGTGTCTAAAGGGTCATGTACTGTTAATTCTACAGAACATTTTACATTTAGAGAAGCTTAATAATAATAAATATAAAATGGTCAATTATTGAAAGAATTGTGCCTTCCCTGTCCAATGGCATAAACTCTTATATGTTCTGTGTTTTGAGTTATCAGTTTGAAGTATTGTCCTGTAATGTCAACTAACTCACTGGGAATTTGAATGGTATTCAGTTACAATTAAAAAGACTGCATTTAGGTTGGATGTTGGTTCTCTTTATAACTGAATAATTCATAATTTTAAAGAATTGTAAAATGAAAGATAACACCATATCATGTAGATCAGGGGTGCCCAACCCCGGTCCTGGAGATCTACCTTCCTGCAGAGTTTAGCTCCAACCCTGATCAAACACACCTGAACCAACTAATTAGGGTCTGAAGGAGCACTTGATAATTACAGACAGGTGTGTTTGATCAGGGTTGGAACTGAACTCTGCAGGAAGGTAGATCTCCAGGACCAGGGTTGGGCACCCCTGATGTAGAGGCTTTGAAAATTAAACTTAAAGGTGCACGAATGCACTTAATGCTAAATAATTTAGTTGCCTTCATATTTTTTATTTTTTTTTATTCATTAGACTGCCTGTCACTCTGTAGATGAACAAAAGTAGTTAAGTTGTCAGATGTTAGTTGACTTTAATTGTAGGTAATTTACAGTGCATTAAACAAAACATTTTCTGTGATAAAATTTAAATGTTTAATAAAGTCATAAATAACGACAGTAGTCCTCTATACAATTATAAGAGTAGTTACCTCCTCACTATAGATAATTTTCATCCTGCCATCTATCCTGGTTATCAGATAACTATTTTGTCTGATGTATTGTCACCATCTTGCCACAAGATGGAGCAGTAAATTAATGTGACAAAATGTAGCAAACATCAAGAATTACAATGATTGTTCAGCCAAAAATGAAACTTCAGTCATTATTTACCCTCATTCTGTTCCAAACAGACAGTCTCAGTCATCACTCTTTTTACTGTTTAGAAAAAAAGATGCACTGAAATGGTGACTGAGGATGACATTCTGCCTAATATCTCCACAGGAGAAAGAAAGTATTACAGGTCTGGAAGTAATCCAGCAGTGGTAGAGTTAACTGCCCAAATTACATCACTCTTGCATTCTGTCCATCCACCCCTCCTCCTTAACTCCTCCGCCCTCCCCCTTCTCATTGTCTATGAAAAGGAGGGTCTTTCTCTCCCCTGTCCATTCAGCCGCTGTGCACTGGGACTGTGGTCCAGACTCCAGACCTCACCCTCAAGTCTGTCATTATAATCACTTAGCAGCCACAAAGACCTCCAGCCCTTCACAGCCTCTGTGCACAGTTCTAGTGAGACTTAACACTTTCCACCACTCTAAGATGGAGCTTTTGGGTGCCCGACTGCCCTTCACCCAGTTTCAGGAGGAAAAGTACCAGATGCTGGAGCTGAACCAGCGTCTCGAATCGTACTTAGGCCGTGTGAAGCTTCTGGAGGAGGAAAACAAGCTACTGCGAGAGGAGATCCACACTCTCAAGAGCAGCAGGGAACCACCAGGCCAGCGCAAAGCTCAAGAGGAGGCTCTCAGCCAGGCCAGGAGGATGTTGGATGAGGCCTGGAGGAAGAAAGACCATGTGGAACTGGAAGTGGAGAACATGATGGAGGATATAGAGGTGATGAGTATTCAAAGACAGAAGGCGAAGAATGCTCAGGCTGAGGCACAGAGAAAACTCATGGAGAGCAGGAAGGAGCTGGAAGAGGAGTGTAGAGCTCAGATTTGGCTTAGAGGGAAGGTTGGCCAACTTGAGAAAGACCTCTTGCTACAGATGCAAGTCCACCAGGAGAACATGGAAACCATGCAGGCCTCTCTGAAACAGACAAAACAAGTCTTGATGGCCCCACAGCCCACTCAAACTGCCAGCATCCCAGACCTGGGACAAGAGTACAGCCACAGAGCAACTCAAGCCTGGCAGGAGGCAACCAACAACTATCAGAGAATGGTTGGAGGTCTTGAGGAAAGTCTGGACCAGGCCAAAGCTAGCATGGCAAAGATTCATCAAGAAAAGAGAGAAAACCAGCATCAAGTTCAGCATCTGGCAAAGGAGCGGGAGAGCACTAAGACTAAGAGGCAGATGTTGGAGAAAAATTTAGTTCAGCAGAAAGAAGAGCATAAACAGGAGCTTCAACATTTTCAGGTAAGAATTTAAACTTATGGACTTTGTAGTTCAACCAGTTCAGATTCTGTCTTCATTTACTCGCTCTAACCTGTAGGATATTTTTAGGAATGTTTCATCTGTTTTTGTCCATACGATGGAAATCATTGGGGTCCAAAACAACACTGGACCCTGCTCTTATTTCAGGGATAAAAAGTACAGTGACATTTTTCAAAATATCTTCTTTCGTGTTCCACAGAAGACAGAAGGTCATACAGGTTTGGTAACAGGACACATGTATTTAACTGGGTTCTTTTAATTTTGTTAAATTTTTATTGCGATGTTCCACATTCTCTTCACTTTAATATATATTTCTGAAGAAAACTTGTCTCATATCTTTGAACAGGCCCAAGTAGATGCTCTGGAGTTGGAGAAAGACAGCCTGGGGCAGCAGATAGACAGCCTTATGGGGGACAGACAAAACTTGCTGCAGGTCAAGATGTCTCTTGGACTGGAGGTGGCCACATACAGGTACCTGTCTTCAATATCATCATCAACATCAGCAAAATACAACCTCTGCTTATTATAATCTTCAGAACCATCTTTACATGAAGTAAAATATGCATGTAGCTCTCTCCATTTAATTTCTAATGGGATTCCCCTGCACTGTGGGATTTGTAGTTTATGGAGGCCCAACTAATAGGATCATGCATCAGTGGCTCTAAAAAGCATCTCAGGCACCCTGAGAGGGGTAACTTTAGATCAGTCATTTAGAATGGACCCTCTCCATTTTCCACCCGGCACTGACCCTGATCCATCTGCTTGGAGGAGGGGCAGTGAAAAGGGGGTGGGGTGGGGGGTGTTATTCATTCAAATTAAGTTCTGTCGAGTGCAGAGTGAAATAAATTTTGACCAAGCATTTTAGCTGTTGTACATTTCATGGTCCTCCATATCATGAAGTTGCATTGCATTAGATGCACAGGTACTTAAGAAGAATGGGGTTGGGGGTTTTAAAATGTGAAGTTATTATAAATGTGTACATAATTTTTTATTGCATATTGTTACAATATGATGTGCATGTCTCTTTCAAGTATTTTCGAGTTTTTAAATACATTTTTATGTAATAAAAAAAAGAAAGATCCACGTTGTTTTTAAAAAATCGATTGTGTGATGTTTTTTGTAAATTACAATACATGCATTTGGCAGGATACCTGTTACATGAAGTGTGTGCGTACGTTTGTAAATTCCAACCCTTGCAATTGTTCAGTGCTGCATGCAGGAGGTAAAGGAATTGATGCCAGACCAAATCCTGCAGATGGGCTGACAATGACAAATCTGACATACTATTTGCATAACAACAGAACTAAGCACAAGACTGCAGCTCAAGAACCTGACTCCATCTCATTTAACCCACCCCTCACATTAAAGAAATTGCTGTGATGCTGACAGATGTTCTGTTGCTTCTTTCCAGAGCTTTGCTGGACAGCGAGGGCCTGAGTATTGACAGACCAACAACAAAAAAGACCAGCTCTGCTTTCTTTTTAGGTAACATTCTTTTTATTTATTTTTCCATTTATTTTATTATTTTTATTATTGTTTTTACTAAAGCGTGATGGCTATTTAGGCAATAGGAAAGTGAAAAAAGTTTTTATTAATGAATATAAAAACTAATAATGGCTCTACTGAATACAGAGAACATAGTTCAGCCTATACAGATTTTTAATCTGAACAGATCTCCTTTCCCTAAATACTGCTGTGCTCCAGGCTGGTTAAATGATTAGTACTTTGTGACATTGTGTGCTTATTGCATGGTGAGGTATCTGTCTAAGCCTGTAAAACTAGCTTCCTGTGCTAGTCCCATAGGTCACTGTAGCAGATGGCTTCACTTTCCAGTAATGCAGTCCTGGAAAAGCATAATGAAGATCAATATATCTCCATTACGGCTCACTCACAGTTCACAACTATAGTGTGTATTCTGGTAACTCCCCTGGGAGGCAGATCAGGGGTCTATGTCTGTCTGTTTCATACTATCTCCATCTATCTCTTTAGCCTGGGGCTTTATCCATCAACCACATTTTTTCCAATAGCATCATAGTTATCAGGGCATGGGACATCAGCCATATTTTGATATTTTGATGCATTAAGAACAGTTTTTTTAAGTGTATTAAAAGCTTACAGCGCAATCAGTGTAGTCAGAAATTCTGAAACAATGACTCTAAAGAGTCGGTTCAAACACATGCATCATACAACAAATTATGAGACAAACTGAATTTGTTATGATCCCATCTCTACATATTTTCACCCTCTCTTTTAGATACCCATAAAACTGGGTAAAACCTAGAAAAGATGCAATGTCATTATTTAAAACACTAAGCGTATTTGGGATTCAGAAAATAGATCTGATGATCTGCCAAAGGTAGATTTGATCAAATAGGTCCCTGTCTGTGTGACAAAGCCTGCCTCACCATCTTCCTGTTTCTTGTTACAGATGTGCTCTCAAAGCCCACTGGGACCCACCCAGCCTCACAGACCACTGCTGCTTCCTGCCATGTCAGCAATACTGTGTCTACAAGTCACAGATCAATCACCTCCTCTCGCACTCTGCTGACTAGTGTGACTCCATCATGGACCCCGACTCGAGGGACTCCACAAAGAACACCAACCAGAGCCTCGGTGACAGAAAAGACAGAGGTTCATATCTCAGAGGAGACTGAGAAAGCTGCTGAGAAGTCTGTGGATCATTTGCAGCAAGAGAAAGCCCGTGAAGACCTGGCCCTTGCAACAACTCTCCCCAAAACAGCTGTAGAACCAAAACCACTGCTCAAACCAGAAGATATTGAGATTCAAGAGGACGACGAATCAAAACAGTTCCAGAAAGATCAGATGGTTGAATCTGAAACTGCTGCATCGGCATTGATAAGTGTGTCAGCTGACCAACCAAGTAACTTGTCCCAAACTCCAGAGACAGAAAGCTGGGCTGATCCATTCACAGATCCTGCAGGGGTTTCAGAAGAAGGGAAGGACGAGGACACTGAAGTGTCTGTTGAAATGGCTCGGATCTCACACGCACCTGAGGTTGCTTGGGAAGAAAATAAAACCGTAGCAGAGGACGAAAAAGATGATGCCTCTGAGATGGATGTAAGATCAGAGAACATCAGTGAAAGCCACACAGATGCATATGGAGATGCAGATAATGATAATGATACATTAAAATCTAGCCATATCAGTGCGAACACCAGCATACTGGGTTCATCGTTCCTCGAGCAAGGAACTTTAGATTTGGTGGGTGATTTTGGCTATCATGAAGATTTAATGAAGGTAGATGAACAGGACAATGTGAGCAATATTAGTGAGGAGGTAACAGAGCAAATGGACAGTGAAACTGAGGCAGCGATTGATTCAATCAATGAGTGGGACAGACAGGAAGAAATTGAACCCGATAATGAGAAAACAGTGTTGAGCCCTGACTCTGAGGTGGAAGAAGAGGATGAAAGGAACATTGACGCTAACATGAAGGATAAAACAGATGAAAATGTGACTGAAAGAGAAGAAGAAGAGATAGAAGTGATTAAGAGTGACATTTCTGTGCAGGATGAAGGTGTAGATCATCAGGAGAGTTTAGAGAAGACTGTACCGCCAACTGAACCCCATTCAGATCAGACAGTAAATGAGGAAGATCCTTTACCTGAGGAATCTGAGGAAGAAGAAGAGAACCAAGGTGAAGACGATGATTCCCCAAACATATCAGCCTCATGGAAAACCGATCCTGGCGAGTGTGACAGCTACAGTCAGGAGAACACGCTAGCAGACACTCGGCCCTTGATTTGTTATAAGAGTGACGAGGAAACAGACAGGAACGTGCAAGCCTCGCACCTCATCGGTGAGACCAGTGACAGTGAGGATGAGAAAGAAAGAATGGAAGAAGGCCACTGGAATGAGAGTGCCTCCAAATGCTTCAACACCATGGAGGATCTCACAGAAGATCCAGACATGGAGGTCACTGGAGAGATGATGACGGAAGATGTTGTTTCTAAAGAAGAAGCACTAGATGGCTCTGAAGTCCATGAAAGTTTGGACATGGTGGAGAAAGAAAGTGCAAGAATTGAGCTCAAGGGAGACCTGGAAGACAATAGTGATGTTATGACTGAGATGAGGAAAGATGAAGGTCATGATGTCAAGGTTTATGAGCAAAACGAACAACCACAACTGACTGAAAACCAGCATATACACACCGAACAACCTGAGGATGAAACAGTCCATTCATATGAAAGTCAAGAACAAGTTGATATGGACCATCCAATCTCATTCCCTGAAACATCCCAGCAGTTTAAAAGCTCCTTTGAAACTCAATCAACTCTGACTATGTTCCAAGATACAGCTGCAACCAAAGAACCAGAAGATCTTCTGGAAGTTTCCATGCACACCAACATGGATCTCACAGACAGTCACTCTTTGGAGAGTGAAATGAACAGTCAACCAGACAACATGACATCAGACATTCCCAACTCAGACCAGGAAGAGGGCAATAGCTCAGAAGATGAGTCTCCAAATGCTAGCCAGTGCTTTCAGAACACAAGCCTTTTAGCAGCAGCTACTCTTAATGAGCAGCCATTAACCTTTACTAATGGAGTCACCAAGGCTGATTCTGTGTCTGACGTCATCAATTTGCCTGAAGAAGTGCTCAGTAAGGAGAAGAACACTGAAGAACCTAAAGCCCCTCAGATTGATGACTGGGAGAATTCTAACATCTGGGGCAAAAGCACAAATGCTCCAGACGCAGCTGAGATCACACACACATCAAGTATGGATGAAAACGCAGGCGTTTTCCCATTAAATGAGACTGAGAATTTAGAAATTCCAAATAAAATGCCAAGTTTAGCGGAAAACATCTTTGAAAAATGTGAAGAACATCTTGAAAGGACAGTGGAGAGCTTCTCAGAAAAAGTGCTAACTGTGATGGATTTCGAGAGAAACAATTCAGGAGAGGAGGAGGAATTTCACTCAAAGGAAAAGAAAGGTGAGATTCATAGCTTTTTCAGCACAAGCATGAAGGAAGATTTCTGGAGTGAGGGAAAAACGGAGATGGCAGCTACTTATGACCCTGCCAAGACTGAAGACTTAAACCAGGCTATGGTCTTTGGAGATGAGTGGAGAGATATGGAGAGAATGTCAACAGCAAATGGAAGTCCTAAAGAAAAGATGGACTTCCTCAAAGGCCAGGATGAGAGGCATAAAGATGAACAGCCAACACAAGGCAAGATGGTCCTATCTGATGACTCTGTTGATGAGGGGGATTCCTGGTCCTCTGGCGATGAGTAACAGCTTTGTCCGATGATGTTTTAGACCATTTAATACTAAACCAAAAACATAAAAATGTAGTGATGTCATTTAAATAGATGAATTACTGAGCCAAAATGAAAATTCATGGTGGAAGACAGCAACAAAAACACCTTCATACATTCACAGAAATTAAACTAGACAAGATTGCTCAGCGCAGTGTGTGTAATTGTACAATGTGATCTCTGTAATGTGAGTTAACAGCCTGGCATAATGTGCCAGCTGTCGTCTCGGGATAAGAAAGTGTTGTACTCCATGACAGCCACGGGCAGAAAGGATTCTTAAAAGATTTACTATGAAGCTTTACTTGTTTCTGTACTAATTAGATCAGATTTTCAATGACCTTCATCTTTCAGTGTTAAAAATAAAATACTTTTGTGTATTTGCACTGACGTATGTTACAATGGAAAAACAATATGGATTAAAATTTTACAATTCTGAAAAAAGCTAAAGATTAATAAAAAGTAAAATAGCAAATAATATGAGTTGGTGTCTTTTTTTATTAATATTTTTAAATGTATAATTTTGATCAATAATTACATGACCACACAACATTTGACACTTTTTCTGTGTTTTAAACATACATTTAAAGATAGATTTAAAGTTCTAGGTTTTGATTTATAAAGTTCTAAGTTTTATTCATCCAACCATTTCAGTTTCAGTGAATCAGAACTCCAGTTGAACAGGCTGGATCATAAATCACACTGGGATTTGGAGCCAAGCGCTGGTAACCACACAATACTGGTCTGAGAGAAAGAGGCCACACTAGAAGAAGAAAAGAATAAGCAACAATGAATAATAGATGACATCACCTCCTCATTTCCCTCTGTGTGCACACAGGCTCTCTGGTGCCACTGATGGGGGGTGTAATGGGACAATGACAGCGATATTGGATGAACACATCAGCCCTTTAACCAACACCACTTTGACCAGAACATGCATTCAGAAAGAAACTGATGGCATAACATCCTGTATAAAATAAAAAAGCTCTTATTCTTCAAAAGGTTAAACCTTCTATTCTTAGTCCAATTAAACAGCTAGTCAGATGACCCACAAATACAAGCAGGATTTACAAGGTCTTTTGAGAGCTAAAACAAAAGTGAGTCAGGGCAGCAGCTGGGAGGTCAGATGCTTCAACACCTGTTTAATGTGGAAGAGGACGCCACACAATCGCCCCTGATGCAACAGCGTGCAACTCCATAACCGGTTTATTGAAGTGAAGATCTGATCCTGTTAAAATGACAGACGTTGTTATTTAAATCTGATCTCGATGGCATTCACAAATGTCAATGTAAGAGCTATTTGAGTGGAATGAACACAGTATCTCGAGAACACGGCGCTACAAATAAATCTCAATAAACCTGAAATGTGTTCAGAGGCTGAGTGACATTGCTTCCTCTCTGCTTCCTTAACCATCTGTCTTTGTTATTGATTGCTATTGATTATCAATGTCAGATAGTGAGTGACTGAGTGTTTTAAAGATTAGACAAGACCTCACATTCATCATCATTCTTTTAGCTTCCACATTCTAATGCAAATGCGTGACAAATCATTACTAATACTTGTTCATGCTGTTGTTTTCTCTACCAAAAACGATGTTGCTTTCTGGAGAATGACGTCATTAATGAACTTTGGTTAGTTCAAGGAATATTACAAAACAGGATGTACTGTAAAGTGACGAGTGAAATTGAGTAAACAGGAAAACCTATATGAAATGATTACCAGTAATAGCTAAATTAGGAAAACAAAATGTTAAAGGTGACAATATCATGAAAATCTGATTTTTCCAGGTTTTAAGTGCTATAATCAGGTCCCCGGTGCATCTACCAACCAAGAAAACGTGAAAAAGATTAACCCAGGCCAGTAACTTTGTATTAGTAAGCCTTTTTCTGCAAGCGTCTGAAAAAACGAGTGCGTCTGATTTCGCTCCCCTAGTGACGTTGCAAAGGGATCTCATTAAAATATTACCGCCCCTTAATCTGTAAGTTTAGTTTACACCCATGGCGCCGTCATTGTGTTTTCGCAAGCGACAATGGTGTACCAGCTCTAATGCCATGATGAAAGTTTGAGCAAAACACCCTAACTGTTCTGTCTTTGGCTGCACAGACGAGCACAGAACACTATTTAGAGTCCCAGCCTCAGAGGAGACAAGAGAGCAGTGGATTTATTGATTTATTTACTGTATATTGCTGCTGCCACACAGATCTAAAATAAACAAGCGATTTATTTCCCAGCTACTTACCTTCACAGACATAACCGACTGTTTTTGTAACTCGTGTTATTAACGTAAACTTGTGTGTGAATGAGAACTTAGTTTAGTACTCACATGCTGTGACAGCCACTTTCTGTCCGTGTGCACTCAGAAAACTGAAGTTTAAACTAATTTGGTTTAAAACGCATGATTTCAGCGCGATAAACATGATAATCAGAACCAAAACAGATGTTTTTAGCAGGTATGAGCTGTAATGGCGCAGCTCAAAAGCAGGAAAAGCTGGGAAAGGGGGCATGGAGCAGTAGCTCATTTGCATTCAAAGAGACAGGCATGGAAAACGGCATGTTTCTGCTTCCACTCAAAATAGGAATTTTCAAAATTATATAATAAATGATCTGTGGAGTATTTTGAGCTGAAACTTCACAGACACATTCTGGGGACACCAAAGACTTATATTACATATTGTAAAAAGGGGCATAACATGTCTCCTTTAAAGAAAACAATTAAATGTTCTTAATAAACTGCCATTTTTAATGAGTAAAACTAAAATAAATTTGGTAAAGAGACTATTTAAAAAAAATTCAGTAAATTTTTACAAATAATTACATTGAGTAAAACATTACATTTTGAAGACGACGACTGGAATAGTACTTTCGGGTAACACTTTAGTATAGGGACCAATTCTCACTATTGCTGTAACAACTCGTTGTTTATTAGCATGCCTAACATATTGGCTGTTTTATTAGTACTTATAAAGCACATATACTGCATGACCATATTCTACATCCCTAATCCTACCCAATACCTAATCTTAACAACTACCTTAGCTATTAAATATCAGCAAATTAGCAGTTTATTGAGGCAAACGTTGTAGTTAATGGTTTGTTAATAGCAAGAATTGAACCTTAAAATAAAGTGACCATATTTTTTTTTGTAAAACACACTTCAATAATCTTACAGAGCTAGCAATATGATTAAAAATTGTGATGTTGCAATAAAACAAACCTAAATAATTATGCTTCAAAATTGTGAGTTTAATATTTTTTAACCATATAATAAATGTATAAGGGCAAACAAACGACCCCTATAAATATAACATTTAAATAGAAATAAATCAATTAAAATATATAATAGAAAACCAAATAGAAATGAAACCATAAGCTGGTAGCAATTTTTTTATATTTAAATCTAGAAAACATACACCACATTGTAATTTATCCCACTGCCTGAGGGAAGAGAATACCAGCTGATTATAAAGACAAAGATATTGATCGAACATCTGAGGAATGATTTTGGATATATCATTGCATTGAGAGATTTCACATTGATTTGCCAATCTGTGCTATATGCATCCAAATTTGTCTCTTTTGATGAGTAATTCTAGTGGGGCCTGTTTAAGCAATTTGTTTGCTTGTTTCATATTCTCAGTCCTCAGACGAACTGTAACCTGCTGGAGAGCTAAATCAACTGTTAGAGAAATAATGCAATGAAACTATTGTAGAGCACATTTACTCTGTCAATCAATGCATATATTGACATTTACATTAAGGATGATGGGTGTTTTCTCTTTTCTGTAAGATGAAATGGTTTGTGTGTCTGAGCGCATTACGAAAAATAGGTTGACTTTGTCATCCAATAAGTGAGGACCTGTTACAAACAGAAGCTCAATGGTTGCACCAGACGCCACAACTGACAAACTCAGCTGACGCTGTTCTCAGATGAACAGAATGTCATTGAGGAATGGTCTGAATTCAATGCCCGCTCCTCCAAAAGACACATGCACAAGACATACTCACACTCAAGGTCAAATCATTGTGCCTGAATCACCGTGATCTGTTGATGAACTATTTGTGGTTTTTATTTCCAACAACAAACCCAGTGTCTCTATAAGGGCAAACACATTCTTACATAATTAGATCACACCCAAAGTTTCATCTCGAAGCCGTCGAAATTTGGGTTCAAATAAACCTGGGTTAAAATGAACCTGGAGAACTGGATTTCCTCTGAACAAGCACGTATGTGTATTATAAAACTAGGTACACTATAAAACTGAATCAATGAGAGGGGATAAATTATTTAAAATGTAGACTTTTAGCAGCAGTATCGATGTGAAGCGAAAGGCTGACATCTAGTGGCCAGATATGAAAACGCAACAGCGCAATTTAATTGACAAGATACTATTACAAAACACCAGAGAAAAGGCCATAACTGTCCTCAAGTTTCAAAAAGTATGTGAAAATTATATAAATGACATTTATAATGTTACAGAAAAATTATATTTCAAATAAATTCTTAGAAGTTTGTATTCATAAAAGAATCATGAGGGGAAATATAAAATATTTAGCAGCTCAACCATTGTCAACTTTGAACATGAGACTGGAGTAATGGCTGCTGAAAATTTAGGAATAAATTATATTTAAAAATAGATTAAAATTAAAAAAATTTAAAATAAAAATTGTAACAATATGTCACAATATTATTATTTTTTACTGTATTTCTGATCAGTTCAATGTAGCCTTGGTTAGCGTAAGATGCTTCTTAAAAACTTTTTTTTTTTTTTAATCCTACTAATGTTTGAAAGACATCTCTGCTTACTTTCTTGCTACTTTATGATTAAAAATGATTTGTTTTTCGACATTTGCAGGTAACTTTAGATAAAAGTGCCTAAATGAATATGTAAAAATTCATTAATAACAGTGAACAGACAAGACAAACCACAAAGAAACTTGTAAAAGATAGACTCACACTTCTGTGTAGGTCAACTTGTCTATTTAATATATAAAATACAATAAAACATACGCAAAAGGGGAGGGTCATAAAGGACAATGGATACTTTGGTACAATAACAAACACTCTTTTGTAAAAGCAGTATAGAATTTGTAATAACATATCAGTGCATACTTTGTTTATGAAAATATACACAAATTGTATATCATTCTCCGAAAACAACAGAATTTTTTAAATAATTTTTTTGTCTTTTTTACAACAAAACTCAAAGCAGACTAGCCGAACACAATATATTAGCTATAATTTTTCTTTTTTTAGACTTTTTTCTTCAATTTCTATTCTAGCTGTGCGTTGTATATTCTTATTGAAATTACACTTCAGTTTATTTATAATACGACTCATTCTTTGCTTGTCTGACGCCCATGCATTGTGTCTGATCAGAATAAATTAAATGTGTGGATGCCCCACCTTAACTATGTGTAGATACTATTATACAATTGACTAAAAATTGCAGCATTGAACTGGTCATTCTATCGAACCTGTTTTATCGCTTCCCTCAATTAGCAATAAGTACTAATATTACTACAACGGTTTTGTTTTACTTAATAAATCGTGCAATATTAGTAACACCCCTTTGAAGAAAACAAAAAACAAAAAAAACAACAAAAACGAAAATATATTTATATAATATTCATATATAATAAAATAAAATCTAATTAAAATAGGATGCCTAACCTACAAAAAAAAAATAAATGCAGATGCAGAAAATAAAAACCGTCTTTCTAAATGTATCATTATTATTACCATCTGTGATGATAACCATAATGGTAATGATAATCATCATAACAATTATAATAAAAACAGACAATAAAACTGTCACCAGCACAAATTAACACGAGAAAAAGTATGTGAGAATCTCTAGACATCATACAAAGGGAATACGGGGGCCAAAGTGAACCATTCACCGGACGATTGTCTTTTCTTTGATTACTTAGATTCCTAATTTTATCACGAGGTCCTTGCGAGAGCTTTTCGAACGTTGCCTTAGCCTTAAAATCAACACAGCCAGTGCTTCGAGGCACCGGACAATCACAGGCGCATCGCTTTAGTCACCGGCCTTCTCATCTTATAAACTTACATAGAAATCACTGCATTTGTTCAAAGCTCAGGACACAACAGTCTTTAAGTCAACAGGTGCACTGCAGAGGCCTCGCTCTGCTATGATGCAGTTCTAGAAAACATCCGCCCAGTAGCTCTAGAACCTCAGTCGATGGGATACGAATGCAGGTGTGTGATCAGTCCCAACAAACGCTTACTCTCCCGGTACTGCATCCATCATGTGTGTGAGTGTGTGTGTGTGTGTGTGTGTGTGTGGAATCTGGTTTAACAAAAGATGGGTCACCTGTTGAGGTGAAATTAAATGGCTTCTGTCTTCCTCTGTGAGTGAAAGAGTGGGAAAAAAGGAGAGAAAGAGAAGATACGAGAGGATGAAGGGAGAGGTAGAGAAGCCGATGAGGGATAGGTGAGTCTCACCTTGAATATAAATACACTAACACTTAAAACTAATCTTTTTAGAGGGGAATATGCCATATTTGATATAATTTTGAACCCCATTTCCCTTTAGCACTAGCTTCACTTAATCTGTCGTAATTTTTCAAAATCGTCACAGAAACATCCTTCATCTTTGTCACTTAGAGAATACACTAATGCACAGAAAACGATTTGTGTACATAATTGTCACATCTGCAACACGTGTAAAGCCTAATCTAGGTTTCAGTACAACATTCTTTCTTCTTTTTTACAAAACGTGACACATTTCTTCTATTATTGTTTACGGTTAAACATGTGAAGTGCAATAAGCCAAGATCTCACAAAAAAATAATAAACGAAACACCCTTCCCTGAATGCTTTAAATGTCTTATAGGTGAAAGGAGGCTGTATTCCCTTCGAAGCTGTCTGGGAAATCGCTGTTCCTGCTGGGGTGTAAAAAGACGGATAATCAAAGTGGACTGATTGTGTAAATGATAATGCAAGGAAGCATCAATTCCTCACGTGTGTGTCTGAAGGTGTGCGAGCGGACGAGGGGGAAAGATTTTAAAGTTCGCGCCATCAGGACAAAAACGACAAAAGTGTCACGCTTAAAAACAGTCAAATCCTCCTTCATCTGCCTCTCCACCTTGCTAACTTACAACACGGTACAGTTTATTTACAGGTAGAGGTTGACAGAGACGGTTCCACTGAGATTACAGCGCTGTTTCAGAAAGACCCAGCAGAATATATGTGAACATACATCGCTATGTACAATCTCAACGCTTCTCACACACACACACAGCGCTACACAACCTCCATCTCTTTCTTATCTAAAATGAGCTATAGTTGAGATGTGTTTGCCACCAACTCTTTCTCTATACACCTGTTCTGAAACACTGAGAAATTTTGTATATACATGATCTCAAAACTCGCCATCGTGAGTTAAACAACAACTCAGATTTTTACTTATTCCTGGAATCTTACAAACAATAATTAAGCATACTCGTCCCATAAAGTTAACTAATTAATTTCTGAATTACACAGCCAGACGAAAACAATAAATAGAGCATAATGTGGCAGACCGCTGCTCACAGCCACACTCACGTTTCCTGCACACCTGGATCTCATTAGTACAGATAGATAGATCTACATTTCCATCAACGACACCACATTTACGGTCCATGCGTACGCAGAAAATCCAGGACGTTTGTGCTTAGAGCTCCGCCGATAGACACATACAAGTGTGCAAGCGAGGGGACTGGTGCGAGATTACGATACCACGAAAGATGGAAAACGAACACGAGAGAGTGGAGTTTTTTGGCTGAATTGTGTTTAGCGATCGAATGAATGTGCACCTCCGTCTCACAACTGACACACACATGCACGCACACTATGCGCAGTTTCTGCACAGTTAGAAAAACAAAGATAGAGATCCTACTTTAAAGGAACGGGGGCGATTCTAAAGGCAGCTGCTCAAGCAGATAGAAAAAAATACATAAAAAGAAAGAGGAAAAGCAAGAGAGAAAGAGTCAATCGAGAATATAAATGGCAAATGCAACCATTCATACAAAACTAAACAAAAGAGAAATCAATACAAAAAAAGAAGATTGACAGGCTTGTCTAGGCAACATAACAAGCTGTTTGGACAGAGCAGTGCCGCTGAACTCTGATCGGGTCGATGGTAAGGCCTGTAAAAGTTGATCTGAGATCCAGATGGCGTCTCTGAGCAGAGGCGGGGATATCTGAGACGTGACCAAAAGCCATTCTGGCCCGGTACATCTCTTCAGTCTCATATACGTGAACACGTTTACACCTGGATTGGCAACTGTGTGTGAGGATCTAGTGCGTGACTGCGTGTGTGATCATATATGCATATTTTATATAAATATATACACACACACACACACACACACCAGTAAATATGAGTGTGTCTGAGAGTGAGACAAGAGAGAGAGAGACAGAGAGACAGGCGCATGCATGTGTCTAAGTGCGGACTGAGACTGGCTGCTGAAAGCAGGTGCCACTAGGGGTGTGTTTGTGTCGGTGTGTGTGTATGTGTGGGTGAGAGAGCAGCTCTCTCGCTCTCTCCTTCAGCGTTTATGTGACCCAGGTGTCCAGTCTCATGCGTTTCACGTTGGCTGACTCCTGCTGCTCTGCTTGGGCTGGCTGCTCTCCAGAAGCTCGGAGGAGACCCAGGCTGGCGCAGTTGAAATCGGGAGGGCGCGGCTGCCCTCCGTCGTCTCGGTCGCTTCCTTCGTAAGAGCTGCCGTTACTGCTGATGCTGTCGACTGGAGAGCGGCCGGTGGGCTCCAAACGCAGCGTCGCTGGATACACAGTTAGGCCTGATATGCCACCCGCTGCCCCGGTGGTGGAACTAGGGGTGCTGCGATCCCGGTTAGGAGACACTGGCTCGGATTTGATGCTGATGTTGGGGTTAGTGTTAACCGTCAGAGTAGCTCCATGAGGGAGCGTTCCCACGGGCCTGCGGTAGAAGGAGAAAGAAGAATAATTAGCATCATGGATATCGCTATTAATAAGATGACACCTGATGCATTTCAATAACAATTTGACAAACATACGTGTGGACAAACAGCAACGCTACCCACAGCTTTACCATCTTTTGCACTACCTCTGAACAGCCACATTTTAGTATACAAAAAATAATAGTACAACAAAGCAGCTATAAAATTAACAGAAGCCAGACAAATTATCTCTGTCATTTAACTCCTGTTAGCCATGCAGTCACAACTTGATCAGCCTCCTTTCACAGAACACAACATGCCACATACCCTTAACTGCAGTGAGTGTGTTTGTTTATGTGCCCGTGTAATTAAACAGCAGCCTAATGCACTGTATTTAGTGTATTATTTATGATGGGATTAGACTTAACTATTCCAGTGATTTTCTGGAAAGAAATGGAAGGTAAAAGGAGGAGAAGAGAAGAGAAGAGAAGAGAAGAGAAGAGAAGAGAAGAGAAGAGAAGAGAAGAGAAGAGAAGAGAAGAGAAGAGAAGAGAAGAGAAGAGAAGAGAAGAGAAGAGAAGAGGAAAAAAAGGTGCTTCAAAAGGTTCTTCAAGCGATGCCATAGAAGAACCATTTTTGGTTCCACAAAGAACCATTCAGTCAAAGGTTCTTTAAAGAACCATCTCTTTCTTACCTTTTTGTAATCTGAAGAACCTTCTTTCGCCACAAAGAACCTTTTGTGAAACAGATGTTAAAGGTTCTTTATGGAACCATTTAGACAAAAAGGTTCTTCTATGGCATCGTGAAGCACCTTTATTTTTAAGAGTGCAGTGGAAAGGAAATGACAGAAAAAGGAAAGGAACTGAAAACAAAAATAAAAGCGGAAAAGAAAAAATAGGCAAGGAAAAAAAAAAGGAAATGGCAGAAATGGAAAAGGAAAAATAAAGGAAAAGAAAGGACAGAAAGGAATATGGATAAGGGAAAATAAGAAAAAAAAGGATAAAAAGCGGAAGAGGAAAGAAAATGAAAAAGGAAAAGAAACCAAAAAGGAAAGGGCAAAGGAAAAGGAAATAAAATGTAGGAGGAAAAGAGTAAAAGAACAAAGAAAATGAAAAATGGAAAATAAATTAAAGAAAATAAAAGAAGAAAAAGGGAAACAATTGAAAAATGGAAATACATTTTAAAAAATGAAAAGTAAGGGGAAATTAAAGTAAATAAAAATAAAAGTAAAGGGAAATAAATAGTGAAGAAATGGAGAGGAAAAGAAAGAGGCATATGGAAGAGTAAAGAAAAAAAGAAAGGAAAGGACAAAAAAACAAAAGGATGCAAGTGAACTAAGAGAAAGAGAGATAGGACAGCGAGAGGGTGAGTGGGTAGTGAAACACGGAGAGAGTTTGGTCTTGTGGGTCTGTACAGGTTGATTGATGATGGTGCAGGTGCTGTTTCAGTATGTTCTGATGCAAAACAGAAAGAAAGGCCAACTCAGCAAATCACTGACAAAGACAAAGCCCAGCTTCCTACAGCCAAACAGCCAGAAACTGATAGAGAGAGAAACCAAAGAGAGAGCGGGAGAGTTAGCGCCATTAGCGCATAGAAAACGGCCACAAGACAGACAACAAACAGAGACCGACGGAGAGAGGAAAAGCCAGATACAGTACCAGCTGATCCCTTCCTCCCTGCCCAAGAGTAAGCTGCCCTGAGAGGTCACACTGCAGAGAGAGAGACAGGCGAAACCCAATCTAGCATCTACAATAATCAATGTCATGTGACAAACACACATTTACTCATCTACAACAGTTGAGGACAGACAGATGTCTATGCACAGTTAACATGGACTGCTCAGCAGGAGAAAGAAACCCAACTGAATGCTTACTTCCAAGAACAGAAATACATATCCCACCCTCATGCATAGTGGAAAGAGTGAGGCTTCACCCCAGTCCGGTCAGAAAAAGGCCTGGCCGCCGAGGTCATGGCGCTCAGAGAAGCACGGCGCAAGGGAAAATGATTTGATGACATGAGAACAGAAGACAGGGTGGCGGAGCGGCGGGGAGCTCTCATGGCTCCATTAGCATTTATATTAGAAAGAACAGGGAGTCAGTGCTACAGTGGGATGTAATGACAGGTTCCTCAGGCATAACGATAGAGAAATTCATTTGGAATTCACTGTATTTGCCGAGAACGCAGCAGCTGCTGCCAGGAGAGTGAGACGTTCTGATAAAGTGGTGTAAGGTTACTGCATTACTGATCAATGAAATCTGCTCATGGTTATACCGAAGACACGAAAATACTGTCTCAGTCCTGCTAAACCTAATACCTACAGCATATTTGGAAGAATACTTACTTTCTTCTTTGAACTGAGAATAGAAAGGCCACGTAATATGGGATGATATTAAAACTACTCTTATGCCCCCTTGAGGTCAGTGACAGAACTACACAGTTTAATTTGACTTACAGAGGGAAAAGGCAGAACAAAACAAAATATTTTCATTATACGATATGACTGATAACATTATGTAATATATAATAAAGAAACAGCTAGTGACAGAAAAGCTACATTGACCTTGGTTACAGTTGCTGACTTAGACAAGCTTTAGAGAAACTCCCATAAGAATGAATTGTGCAGTGAAACGTTCATCGCTTGTATTTTAACCTGAATCAGCGTGTAAATTAATTAACAATAAGCTACTGATGTTTTCATGTTCATTTGGGAATGAATCCACAGCATGAACTTTGGTAAACAAATACCACCTGCATCCTCCCTGGAAACAACGTTTTACCATTTTACTGGATAATTTCATTCTAATTCTGTTTGAAACTATCAAAAGACAGATTAATACATTTAATTTAATGTATTACCCACCATTTCTTTGCAACTTATGAAATTTATGTGTGATACATTTGAAGCAGGGGTGCCCAACCCTGGTCCTGTAGATCTACCTTCCTGCAGAGTTCAGTTCCAACCCTGATCAAACACACCTGTCTGTAATTATCAAGTGCTCCTTCAGACCCTAATTAGTTGGTTCAGGTGTGTTTGATCAGGGTTGGAGCTAAACTCTGCAGGAAGGTAGATCTCCAGGAACAGGGTTGGGCACCCCTGATTTAAAGGGATATTTCACCCAAAAATGAAAATTCTGTCAATAATTACTCACCCTCATGTTGTTCCAAACCCGTAAGACCTTCGTTGATCTTCAGAACAAAAATATCCTAATTTGTGTTTCGAAGATGAACGAAGGTCTTTGGGGTTTGGAACGACATGAGGGTGAGTAATTAATGACATGATTTTCATTTTGGGGTGAACTATCCCTTAAACTATATTGCCACAAAAATAAAACACTAAACAGTGGACGTATAATGTTCATAATTGTGCATTGCTGTCAATCAAATGATGATCATACAGTAGCTGCAGATAAACTTTTTTAAGCCTCAACCTGCTGCTGTGCTGAACAGCCTGGTTTATATAATGTGTGGTGCTTGAGGTGATTCAGAGCAGGATATGATGGCGTGATGAACGTGTGGCCATGCGGCAGGTTACAAACGGACGGACGAATGAACCCCAGAGAGTCCTGACCCACTTGGGAGGACATGATGGAGATGTCTGTCCTACTTTGCAATACTAATCTCTACCTGCTCCGTTATCAGGACATTAAGAGCTACATTTATCAGAAAAGCATTGAATGCTTATGTAAAGAGCACAGGACACTGTAAACAATGAACGAGGAAAAATATAAAAAGACACATAAAATGGGTTTAAAAATGTGGATTTAACGATGATGAGATGGTCATCAGTGAGACGATGAAAGCGTGAACATTCTTCAGCACGGTCCGAGACGGTAACCATGACAACAAGGCCATGGCAGGTGACAGACAGGACAGCGGCGTGTAAAAGGCTGACACACCGCACCCACAGAATATGACTGGCTGACACAGAGAGCCAATGGTTTGACTGGCTGACACAGAGCGCCCATAGGGCCCCATTCACCTGAGATTAGCAGCCAGACCAGAGATGCAGTGAGCCATCTCTCCGTTCTGTTTGTCTGAGCCCCACATGCTGTAAACAAATGAGAGAGAGCACACAAAGCACACACACGGCAGGTTAGACCTGCTCCAGAAATCAGCAAATCTGTACTCAGCATTAACAAAAGTGCCCCCTCCCTCTAAGTCACGCTAATGAGAGCGTAGCACAGCACTAACCCTGCTGTTAGCAGGCATTAAAGCCAGGCTAGAACACCTCTATGTTCGCCCCCCATGAGGAGCAAAGAACCAGGAAGAAAAAGAGGAAAACGTCTGTGTGGGAGACCGAAAGACAGTTATTTAGGTCAATCTCTGAGGGAGAATATGCAGGCTTTAGGTTGTGCGATCTACCGATGATCGTTAGCCTCCACTGTCATTACTTCTTGTTCATGTGATCGCTAATATGAGATCATGACCCGCTGAATACAACTGAAAAAAAAAATCTGAATGAGCAAAATCACACCAAAGTAGATGCACGTGTCGTGCAAATAATGTAGCATACAGTTGCCCTTGACCTGAGCCCCAGGCTATTATGTGATGCATAAAGAGAAAATAGGTAGCGCAGGCTTTCAGCTATTCTGCCCTGTACATTTAATTCACGTCCTGAACATGAAACATCATATTCAGGGCATCTAGATGCCCAGTTTTGAGTCACAGAGTGGTTGGGATGTTCCCTCCATAGCTGATGAAGCAGAGAGACACAAAATGCAACTAGATTAAAGTGTTACAGTTATGTGTGGTGGGAAAATTGCAGATTAATAATGTAACAACGTATGAGTGTTTTATTTAGAGAATAACATCTCTAAAAATTTGGTCTAGGAAAGAAACTAGTTAGTGCTAATGCACCTTCTAAAAAATAAATGTTAGCTCAAAGTTAAATGGTAACACTTAGGCGCAATTAGTTATCATGAACTGACAATGGTAATTTTTTTACAGCATTATCTAAATTGATTATTTAAAGGGATGGAAAATTCTGTCATTATTTACTCACCCTCACGTCATTCCAAAGAGTAAAAAAATTGTTGAATAAAGTCATTATTTTTGTTTTCTTTGAGCACAAAAATTATTCTCGTAGCTTCAAAAAATTAAGGTTGACACCACTACATGTAACATGGATTATTTTAATGATGAACGTGTCAGTTGCATTACTGCCTATGGAGGGTCAGAAAGCTCTTGGATTTCATCAGAAAGATATTGGATTCAAAATATCTTAATTTGTGTTCCCAAGATGAACGAAGGTCTTAAGGGTTTGGAATGACATGAGGGTGAGTAATTAATGACAGAATTTTAGGTTAACTATCTCTTTAAATTAATTTATACCTCTTGGAGTGTTGAAACTTAATTTCATTATCCATTAAATTAATTATTAAATGCTGTAAACAAAACGTTTGGGGGCGGTAAGATTTAAATGTTTTTGAAAGAAGTCCCTTATTCTTACCAAAGCAGCATTTTTTTCAGTCAGAAATACTGTAAAGACAGTAATATTGTGAAATATAATTGCAATTTAAAATGTTTTTTATTTAATATATTTTAAAATGTAATTTATGATCCTTCAGAAATCATTTAGCTAATTTGACGCTCAAAAACATTTCTTATTACTAATGTTAAAAACAGTGCTGTTTAATATTTTTGTGGAAACTTTTTTCAGGATTTTTGATAAATAGAACAGCATTTATATCTTTTGTAATATTATAAATGCCTTTAATGTGTTAAATTTAATGCATTCTTGCCGAATAATATATATAAATCTTACTGACCCCAAACTTATTATTTCACTGACTGACCCCAAACTTATTATTTCATGTCATCTTTTGCATTAAATATATTCAAATATATAACCTAATTGTAAAGGGTTGCCCGCTAACCTTTACAGTATCTAGCTAGATGTAGATAAAGGTAGACTCAGACTAGAGAGGCGTATATCAGAGAAACACTCATCTCTACACTGTAGACAGGAAGTAGATGTGGTGCATGCGGGCTCACACTATGGACATGTGGTTAGTGAAGAACCAGGTGCATGTGTGAGTAGGTGCGAGCAAGAGACAGAGAGTCTGTAAAAGGCATATGACATACACAAGATTACTGAGGGAGGCCAGAGTTAGCTGCTGTGGTTGTTGCTGCTGCTGTGATAGTTGGGATACAGATGGCTGCTGCTGCTGTTGCCAAGTGGTCATGTTGCTTGGCAACAGTGCACCCGACGGCGTGAAGGCCTGGAGGGCTGTGAGATCTGCACTTGTTAGCTGGTACTCTGCATGAAAACAAAGATGAACATTTAATGCATATTCATTCACAGAGTTTACAAAAACACAATTTTCTATTTAAAGCCTCTGATTCCTATAGTTGTGATAATGTGTGCAGGCTGCAGAGTGACGGATGTCTTGGCTTCTCTCTATGATATCACTCTCACCTGTGTTGTAGGCGGTTGGCATGGAGAATGGAGACAGGAGGCTCGGCGTTGCCACGGAAACCACTGGTGTGGTAAGAGGCTGGGTCACTTGAGAGGCGCCTAACCGCTGAGCGTTCTGGAAACCCAGAGGGAAAGAAAAAGAGAGAGATAACATGAGATGAGTGAGAAGTATATGAGCTCACTATCCAGGCAAGGAAAGAATGGACATGAACACCTCTGAATGACTTGTATATGAATGAGTATGAACTAGGGGTGTAACGGTACACAAACATGACGGCTCGGTAAGTGCCTCGGTTTTGACATCATGTTTCGGTATGGTTTCAGTAGTAGTACAGCAGGGGAAAAAACTAAACATAAAATTGCTTTTTTTTTTTATAAAACGGTGGTTTATCTAAGCTTATGCTCTAAACCATAGAAATCCCTTTTTACAATAGCCTACTATAAGGCTACAATTAACAACAGAGCCCAAACTTAAAAAATAGCATGTAAACATGTAAATTGCACATAATGCAGTTTTTAAATTAACTTCTAAATTATACCATTTCTATTTGTTGTTGAAATATATTCATGTACATAGCGGCTGTCATAACTTGTTTCATAAAGGATTTATTTAAACATACATTAAATAATTAAGACATCACTAACAGGTAAAGTCAAATATAATTAGTATACATTCTAATATTTCCTGAAATGCTCATCTCAAGACTTAATTTCTCTAGCGAACTAACGAGATGTGGACACTGATGAGTCGACTTGCCTGAGGTAAATGAAATGCTACGTGACATTTTATTTACAAACTGTTTTACTGACATCTTTCTGCGGTTGAAACACTGATTGAACAATTACATGAGGCGTGAGATGTTCATTCATGTTTCATTCGCGTAAAAACTAGATATAAAAAATATATGTAAAAAAAAAAAAAATATATATATATATATTTTTTTTTTTCCTAAAGGATATAACAGTATAATATAAAATAACATAGAAAAACATAATATAAGATGCTGCTAAAAATCTAATCAAAACCAAACCATCATGTGGTGGGGCTGTTGAAAAAGTTGGGAGGGCAATTCAAATTTTTAAAACTTTCTCTCCACACAAAAAAATCCTCATTATTGAGCCCAGCTCTCAATCATGCAGAAAAAACCCCTAAACGCTTCACTACAAAACACACGATAACAAAATGGGTAGAGTGTGTCTGCAGGGAAAATCAGTGTCAAACATTTGCATTTAAAGCCTTCGGGCGCTTTGAGACTTCTCTTGGTTCTACAAGGGCACTTTTTCAGTCAACAGACTCCCATGATTCAGCAGTCATTGGACATTGGTTTGCCCTGCTCAGGCACGCACTCACAGATCCAGATGCTGAGATGGCTGAAACACCCTCCCTTCCCGCACCAAACTCAGATGTGCATGCACTACACCTAATGTGTCATTGGACAACAATCATTAGAAGAAAAGACATCAAGAAGTGAAAGAAGGTGGGAGAGAGACAGACAGACAAATTGATCTCTGGAGTGAGGGCTTCTGCTCCACTGCGCTCTACATTTGATCTAGTGTGTCTGATTCATGTGAGCTCAACCCATGCATATGTGCATTTCGCCTTGAGTGTGTGCATTCATTTAAAGCCATACACAATAATCAGGCAGTCAGCCTGCAACTGAATAAACAGCTCACATTTAACTCCAATTCACTGACCGCCATTTAGATCATATAGAAAAAAACACTGTATTCTTCAAATCATTTCTTAACCAATCAAACTGTTTAATCAATAAAACTTGATCAGTGAATAATGGTGTGTATAAAAAAGGTGAAGAAAAAAAATTGTTCAATACACAACATCCATTAAACATTCATCAAACGTTGTGAAACTGTTCACAGCACAACAGTCAAAAGAATTGAGCTGTATTCACCTCACTCACCAACTCCAGCTCTTCATCTGTCTGCGAGGCCAGAAACAAATAGAAAACAGAGATTATAACTCCAACCCACATGGTCTGTTATTACCTTATTTGGAAGGGTCATGAATAATAATGTTGAGCTCTGCTCTGATTGGCTGTTTCACAGCGTGGCTCATTTCAGTAGCTCACACAGCAAACAGATCTCTACTGTCCGGCGTGAACGATGGAGAGATTAGGCATCCAAGCTTATATGTTTGAGCCTGTATCAGACAAAGATACAGATTTTGAGAGATTTTGCAAGAATGTTTAGCGTCCGTGGCATGAACATGATCGCTGCGAGACGCTGGTGGAGTGAACGAGGCTTGAGAGAGAGTTGAGTGAGGATGTGGACGCAGCCTCTGTATTGCCAGATCCAGCTGTTATAAGCGTTTTTGAACTTGTCTTTTCCACTTTTTTTGACACTTTAGAAAGTTAATAAAGTAGGACGTTGCAGTTTAGGGTCAGCAATATCTTTATCTTATCTTAATTGCAAAAGATTTGAAATAATTTCGGTTTATTTTTATTTATTTATCGGTTTTTGTTTGTTTTAACATATCTGGCAACACTGCATCGATGATTTGGCTGTGCAGGTCCAGCTGGCCTAGAACATGGGCTGGTATATGTTATGCAAATGTTGAGGGCGTAAACATTAGTGATCCCGACTGTCACAGTCGGTGTTATGTTGGGATTCGCCTCTTTTTCAGTGGTCTTTTGCACGCACCAGATTTACATAAGGAGGAGGAAACAATGGTGTTTGAGGCTCACGGTAGTGCTGGGCGGTATAACCAAAAAATTGTATCGCTGTATTTTTCAAAATTATACCGATTTCACGGTACATGATGGTATTTTTTTTCCTGCATGACCGGGTGTTAACCATATTTTCTACTGACTGAGAGAGGAAATACTGCAGTATATTTACTTAGAATGCCCTATTTTACTGTCATGATGAGTGAATATTGTCAAAAAAGACCACACTAAATAGTGACTAAACACAACCCATTTTAATGTTAACCAGGAGTCACTGTCATTTATAATCGTGGCATCGTCTGATAAAATCAACATGCATCTACACTAAAGAGCGGTTGTTTTGGCTATATTACTTTTTTGTCTCATGCGGAGCACTGCCTGCATCTGAACAACACACAAAAAAAACAAACAAACAAAAAGTTAATGTGTATTAACAGACGAACTACGCTCATATTTATAATTCCAAACAATCAGTAAGCGACAGGTGCTAGAAAATGCTGTTTTGTACTCATTTATTGACGAGTCGGCTGCGGTGCGGCCAACTGAAAGTGCTGCTTCTCTGCCGCTCACTGCACAGAACAGACGCCGAGAGAGGCGACACTTCTCCGGGAAAGTCAGACCTTGCGGTCGCGGGACAGCACTGGCGAAATCTTCCAACTGAACCATAGCTAAGGCTTACCCAAAAAAAGTCGCTAGGTTTGTCAGTATGAATATTCTATGGAAAAAAGCCGCTAAAAGGGTCTGAAAGTTGCTAAATCTAGTGCTAAAGTCGCGCTTGTGTGTGAGACGTGGGAGCTGATGGCAGGGGGCAGTGGATATTTGTGGCGGTCAATGTGGATATTGTGGATGAGTTCTTCTGTGTCATCACGTTCTATTAGTTCTACAGCTTCAGTTTCGGAACTTTCACACTTAGTAACACATACAGCTGTTCCCTCACCACAGTGCAACAGTGAAAAGGGACCCCTTCCAAACAGTGTTGCGTTCCGAACGTTGTTTAAGCGACGTATTGCGGTATTTTAAAATTTCATATCATAACAAAAATAAACACCGGTATTCGGTATGAACCAGTATACCGCCCAGCACTAGCTCACGGTATGTCATTTCCATGTACAGAACTCTTATTATTCAACTATGCCAAGGTAAATACAGTTTTCTATTCTATGGCACCTTTCATATTTGGTATGTCCACCTTTTGCAGCAATTACAGCAGCACATCTCTCTGGCATAGTGTCAATATATTTCCTGAGAGCTTCAACACTAATGTTATCCCATGCCTTCTGCAACTCAAGCTAAAGGCTTTCCTTTGAATGTACAATAGATCTGTCCAGTTTATTTTCCAACTCGCCCCAAATTTGCTCAATGGGGTTGAGGTCTGGACTTTGAGGGGGCCAGTCCATCATTTTCAATGTTCCAGCAGATTCCTTCCGTCGCAGGTAGTTCCGGCAATAGTTCGTTTTATGGGTATTGTAATGGCAAATTCAACAAAAACAACTCAAACCTCTTAAATATGCCAAGTGTTCGAGCAATTTTGGCCACCACTGTGCATATAATATATATATATTTTTCCTAATTCCTTTTTTAATGTGATGTTTAATGCACCTCTTGCTGTTGATATTAATTTTTTTTAATCTTTTTTTTTTTTACATTTTATTTTAATAAATATATAGTATTATAATTTATTTTCCATTCCTTTTAAAGCTGCTTGATACCAGCAAAGTTTAAAACGTCTAATCTACAAGCAAGTAATATATTGTGGTGACAAAATGTTTCTGACACGTTTACACCTGTATTTAGTACTGGCCACTTGAGATCGGATCAATCCGGATGGATCTTAACACCAGGTGTAAACGGGGTCACACACACACACACACACACAGAGAAATTCTGTGTAGGATCACATCGAGAGCCTAGTCCTACTCCCATCTCTAACATTAGCCCTCATAAGTTGTAACATGGAACAGCTTTGAGATTTGATGATGTTTGGCCCACTGAGGCTCCTGTAGAGTAATGTGGAAGTGCTCACCAGCTGCATGAGACCCTTGTTGCTCTGGGAGGTGATGACCCGAAGGTCCGGTTTGCGACTGTTCACCATCTGAGTGCTGGGTGGTGGGGGAGATTTAGCCGGCACTACTTTCCCCATGCTGTTGCCGTTGGAGACTGAGAGGAGTCCTGGGGAGGCCCTGGCACTGACGTAACCATTGGCTATAGAAAGAGAACCAGGAAAACACAGAAAAATGTCAACAGAAAGCTGGTATTTTTTCCAAAAAATCTTGGTTTCGTTCTCATCAACCCTAAGAAACTCTTTTGCATTTTTTGAACACAAAATTCAGATACACAACCGTGATCATATTTTCTGTTTTCTGTCATTTGTATTGATGGGAAAAACACAATAATTACCCACCAGGGAAAATAATCCTATTAGGGTCTCCCTCACCACGGCAGATGTGTTTTCTAACACTTACTGCTGCAAACCAAATCCTCTGTTTTTCTGGGATTACAACTCTATTATGTTGTAATTGGAGGATTATTAGTTACTGGTATTTAGGTTGGAGAAGTGTATTCCTTTCAGGGAGGAAATGTACGCAAAAGCAGACGCACACAAGGAAGGGATCAGGATATCTAACTGACACCAGTTCACCATGTTCCTTGACTTTCTTCCCAGCTTGGTTATTGAAATATTTTTTTCTCTATTTTGTTCATGACGTTGTAGCACATGTAATGTTTGATCTGATCTGATAAGTAGTCAAACTCAAGGGCAGTGTTTCCAGAGGAAGGCAGAGTATGTTATGATGTGTGTTTCAGAGAATGGCTGAGAGAGAGAGACAGAGAGAGAGAGACTGGGGACTTTCCCAATGTTTTCCCACATTCTGAAACTGAATAACACTATTCTCTTAGCACAACATGAACGTCACTTGCTAGTGCTATGGTAACGCAAAACGCACTGATGTCGCAGCTGAACAGAAATATCCAAAATATTTATACTACAAATATTTTTAGCACTGCTATTTTAACATGCGGCTGTAGGAGAGACGGGGTTGGATGGCTACAAGAGTTGGATGGCACTGGGTATATTTTTGGGTCATAAAAGGGTGCTGTCTCAATGTAACATACAGCAACACTGTGTAACATCATATCAAGATATCCTATCACGACTAAAACCTGTGACCAAACAAAAATGAATTAAAATTATTTACATTTAAAAAATATTACAATCTATGTTAGCTAATCAAAATAGGAACCAATTATATTTTGATAAAAGACTTGTAAGAAATCATCTTTTGGCAAATGTTTTGGCTATATTTATGAAAAGGTGTTATATGTTTGTGTTTTATTATTATTATAACAATTATAATATACATTTATTTATGAAAAAAGTAAAGTTGGTTTTATATATGTTTACATAAAACCATCCGACTATTTTTACAAATAAAGTTAGCCAGAAGGCAATTCATATACCAAAAAAAAGTAATAAATGATCAAAATCTTTAAATATTTTTGGACATTAAACATTTTTTTTTTTACTCAAGATTGTGCACTTTCATTTTCACCTTGCTTGGTCATCTTAATATTTTTAACACCAAAGATATTAAATAAAGTTATGAAAGCTCTGCTAACCAAGCCCAGTCTCCCCTACTGCTTTGAAAATGTGCTATAAGCTGACGCTTTAAAAACGAAACTAAATGAATACACTAAATTAAAAAAGTGGAGGTGTTCAGTTTATGAATAATTTAAGAGCTTCAGACTGGAGACTTTTGCAGTTTGATATTTTATCCTATCTGAGCTCTGGTTACAGGACAACAACAACTGTGTGTTGCTCCGCTAGATGTGTGTGTGTGTGTGTGTGTGAGCAACAACCGCGTCAGCAGCTCTGAATGGAAAGAGATTGCAAAGGGAGCTGCAATTCCTTGGCAGCAGAGAAGAGACGTGCTCAGCTGTTCTCTGCCCCAGGAAACACAGCTTAAGTTCAGTCTGGTTTTTAGAGGGGGGCTGGGACAGAAACATGTGTATAAACACACTATGAACTTGGGTCAGAAAGTATGCTGGTAAATATTGTGGATATGAGTGTGTATATGTGAGTGTGCTGTTTGTGTGAGTAAATAAGTTTGAGTGGTGGTTGTAAGCCCTGGAATCTACTAATCTCGACTTCAAAAGGACTGACTGCTTTTTTCTTTTCCTCTATGTCCATGTCTCTCTCGCTCTCTGTCCCTCTCTCTCATGGGAATGGTAGGAATGCTACATGACATCAATGCTGACATTCCCAGAGCAACAGCTGGGAATGGAGGGGCAACGGACAGAGAGAGAGAGAGAGAGAAAATGAGACACAAGGAGTGGTAATGGACAGAGAAAAGCAGTTTGTTAAGAGCTTCTAAAAAGTTTCTTAAGAAAAAAATAATTCATTCCACAGCAAGAAAAGTACAGAATGTCAAATTCATTTATTTAGTCAAATTAACATTTTATATATATATATTAGCATTTGTGTATAGCACCCTGTGTATATATATATATATATATATATATATACACTGTGTGTGTGTGCATGTGTGTGTGTATTAGGGGTTGCACCGACTAATCTACTTCAATGCTCTGCCATGACGCTTTAAGCTTGACGTCGACTAGTCGCTGGTCCTATAGAGGGCGCAACAGGATTAGAAATCTTTGAAGGACTTCCACATTTACGCTCCGTTTCCAAACAGTTCAAATGACAAATAAATGCATACTCTGAAAGCGCTCCACAAGACATGTGTGATTATATTACTGGATGCTCGAAATTGAACGGGAGAATGCACGTTTTAAACAGCTTATTGTACAGGTAAGTTAATCGCCGTTCTAATCTAATGCGCTGCTGCACTGTAACACACACACATAGGCTACAGACAGTAGTGCACATCAGTCATTCAGCGCGGAAATGTATTGTCAACACTGTTCTGTGATTTCTCAATAAAATGGCTTAGAAACTGAAAAGTTCAAGCATATATTTCTTACTAACTAAATTCCACAGCTTCACGACTAGTAGAGAGACGCTGCCAGGTAGAATTAATTCACACACGCAATCGCTCTCACTAATGCATTCATATTAATGTAATCTTTACTGTGCTACTTTATCTGTATCTGATTTAGAATGAGCAGAAATCTGTGAGAAATATAATGACCCAAAGACAAAAGAACTGATAAAAAAGCTGTTATAGGAGCAACAGCCATGTGGGCAGTGCTGTGTCATATGCCATAGCTGTGCACAAGGTGTTTATCACAGCTCCAGACTTATTTGTTCATTAATGACGTCATCAGGGCCATTTGTTGTGGAAAAAATAAGGAAAGTGTGTCCAGCTGAATTAATTTGTTTTTTTTTTTAGACGGGTATAAAAAAAGCTTAGTTTACTGAGGCAGAGGTCGCGGCAGCTGTCGCGTGACGGCCTCCTCATGTGAAGACCGAAGAGTGTAAAGACCATCGACTCTACCGTGCGACTCCACCGGGCAGGGACACCGGTTTTAGGATTACTGATAAACTACTGTCGTTTGATTTGTATTATTTGTATTTGTTATTTATTTTAATTTTAGTTAAATTATGTCTGAATTTATTATGTCTGTTTAGGTCTTTTATTAAGTTTTATTTTTATTTCATTTATTTTAATACTTCAACAAACTAAATGGAAATGAAATAATATATATATTGAATTCATAAATATCTATGTACTGTATATATATATATATACACACATATGTATGTGTGTATAGTTGTACATACACATATATGTAGTTGTTTTTTTGGTGTTTGGCTTAGTGTTATGTTAGAATCATTATTATACTCTTATACCTGTTGTTCTTTAATATTTTGAATTGTTTTAGCTTTATTTTTTGTTTTTCATTTAAATGTTAAGTTTTGAAATTTATATATATATATATATATATATATATGTACACGATATCGCATTTGGTCTCATTCTGTATCGCGTATCTTGTCAGTATCTGCGCTTGCTTGGCCATTTGTTGTGGAAAAAATAAGGAAAGTGTGTCCAGCTGAATTAATTTGTTTTTTTTTTTAGACGGGTATAAAAAAAGCTTAGTTTACTGAGGCAGAGGTCGCGGCCGCTGTCGCGTGACGGCCTCCTCATGTGAAGACCGAAGAGTGCATTAGCATTTTTTTTCCTCATTAATGTACACACAGCACCCCATATTGAC